CCTTTGGCCCATGAATTTAAGCATAAACGAACACATGCATCATAAGATAGAACCGCAACCCATGGACCAAGCCCACTGCAACATTTTAATCAATGCAGTCAGTTGTCTCAGACTTTATGAAGGTAAAATGTCTAGACCAAGAGAAAACCATGCTTAGATTAGCAATTGGCTAACCTTGCATGAAATATAGGGCGACGTGTAGGCAAATTATTACTGGATTCATTGGCTCCTCCATGTTCTTTAAAAACATCAAGGAACCTAGGCTCAGAGATTTAGACGTACAAACCTAACTGATTGGTCGAGGATCTCATCCCTGTTGTTATCCAGAATAATGGTATCACTGTGAGAAGGTTCCATCTTTTGCATTCTTCCAGTATGAAAAACCTACATGTACATAAATAGTTTGAGTATGATACATGGCATAATGTTTTAGGTTAACAATAAATTTAAGTTTTATGAGCACAGAGGTGCCATATTTCAATCTTATAAATTCCAGATTGCATATGCAAGTTAAAGTATACACATCCGAAGGAAGCCATTTAGACATCTCCAATCCCATAACTGATAAAGCAATTAGAAAATTCAAGAAGGTAAACAATTTTAGGATGTGAAACCCCGGGTAGCCTACCCATTGACAATGGCCATATCACTAGATGGATTTTGCAAATATGAAAAGCTAACATCCTAAATTTAAATAAGCACAACCAAAAAATCATTAAAAAAGAATTACCAAGTGCCTAATAATTTTCTACTTCAAAGCTTCAGGGGCATAATTTAAGCAAATTAATAACAAGTAACCAAATAAAATAACACTAAACGAGAAACTTCACGAGTAAAATCAAATTCTTAGTGAAGGACATTCTAAAACCTAGTTTCAGCAAATGCTTGAAAGAATTAGTATCTGAATTCTATGTTTGTCAATGAGATGCAACACCTGGCGATCCATCTGAACAGATACAAAAGCATATGAATTTATACAGATAACCAAATGAAATGACCCACCTGGCGATCCCATCTTAACCCATCCTTGGCAAGAGCATGGGTGAACATTGTACAGTTTCTTCTACTTAAACCTAAAACCAAACCCCTGAAAGAGAAGTTAACACCCAAATTAAAATTTGAAGAACTAATAAGCGAAGATCCACAAGAAAAAAAAACTAACAAACTAAATCATTAATAAAAGAAATAGCAAATACTGATGCTGTTTCGTTTCTTGCCTTTCTAGTCAGTCAGTGTGATTAAAATAAGTCCAATACTTGACCCCAAAAAACTGCAAACTGCACAAAACTGAGTCATTAATATGAGGGATTGTGTTTTGGTACATTGAAAAGAAAATCATTGAAAAGGATGGAAGAGTATATGTTTTCTTTTATTTTACAATATTTACCAAAGAGATTATGGGAATTCAGTTCAACTTCACATGCCAAGCACTGATCAAAGTAGTAACAAACAATGCAATTACTGAAACCCCACTTGCTTTAATGATCAACCACTTAAAGGGTATCACTAAAACTGGATAAAAAAGGAAACTAAAGGAAATGGCACTGCCCAAAGGAGACTTTGAGGAAGAGATGGAGGAATTTCTGACACAGTGTGAAAAGAGAAAGTGAGAGAAGAAAAAAAGAGAAAAAAACAAAAGCTTGGTTGGTTTTCAACTGCTGCTATAGACATTCTTCTCAGCTTCGTAAAAAATCATTAATGGTTATTATTTTCCTCTTCTAAAGAATACAAATTCAAAAGTAAATGTTTCAACTTTGAAGCGAAATTTAGGGAGAGAGTACTCAAGTAACGGAAAGTGGTGAGAGTGAAAGCGCGCCTGCTGGTTTGTTTAATAGTAAAAGTGTTTTTCGGTTGCACACACAAAAGGCGGTACCTTGGAGAAGAGAAGGGACCCACCACGCGGTTCCCCGAATATTTGTGTTTTTTTTAGTCCAAACTGGATATGTGCTGTAAATCCCCGGTTTCCAGCTATTATAATCCCGCGCTTAACAACACTTAATCGCGGCGATATACAGCAAATTGTTTTTAAATTAAAATTTAATGGTTTTGATAACCTCAAATTTTTCTTAAAAAAAATAATATGGCCTTTAAATATTTTATACGCCCTTAAACTCAGGAAAAATTTAATATGTCCTTTTAGTTAATTATTTCATCGTTAATAGTTACGTTGTTAATATAATAATTCAAGATATTAATATAGCGATCGATCCACAATAACTGATGATATGGTAAATGGTTTAAATTGGTTTTTTTTAATTTGAGAGTTGAGTATATTTTTAATATTCATTGGCTTATTTAATTTAAAAAAATAAAATTATTTTAAATTTTAAATATAAAATAAAAATATTTAAAAGATTAAATATAAAACTACTAAAGACTTAAGATTTGACATTTATATGCGTGTTACTAGTTAAACAATCTTTTTTCATGGTTACCCTTAAATGTCTTAATCTCATGATCTATAGATATTATGAGACCATTCGTATTATAGTAATTTTTATAGTTTCTCGCATGTCATTATCTGATTGGAAGAATTTTCTTTATTTAATTAATTTATTTTTTTTAAATTATTCGATGTCATGTGTCATAATTTTATTGATAAAAATAAACCTAGAGCGTTAAGACGGAGGACAAGTGCATTAACATTGGAACAACCATATGATAACCAAATCTTGGTAACATATTTTATTAAAGGAAAATCTTGAAAACTTGTTTGAAAGGAACATCTTCTTCTATACCCGTAAAAATATTCTAATGTCACAGAAACAACAAGCTATAATGCTTCCGTGTGGGGGGAAATGTAATCCTTGCAGTCAAAATGCAGCATAAATACAGATCTTAAACCCATTTTGAGGATTCGAGTCACCTTGGAGCTGATATTTTCATGCGAAAAGGACTCAAAGTGCTCATTTTAATGCAAAAATGCAAGCTAACAGCAGCATTTGTATCTAAACAGTGCGCAGGTGATGAAAGAGAGCAGCAGCTGAGTAGTGTTGGAAACTTGGGCTAGCTAGGGAGATAAGAAGAGCAACAATCAAGGCCGCTTTTACAGACTCTATCTCTCTTTCTCAATCGATTCCTTCACCACCTTATCCGCTGAAAGCATTTGTATCTGACTCCAGCATTATCTTCATTAGCTGAAAGTGATCGTTCCTCTTCTTCATCCATGAAATCTCCTGCCGAGTCTCTGCAGTCTTCAGTTTACTCCTCAATAGGTTAGTCCGATGAGAATATCTCAATGAGTTGATAGACGGTCATATGAAAACTGTTCCCAAACTAAGAGATACTTTGGTTAGCTAATATCAATTAATAAATAGTTTAATAAGATGATTTTCTTGTCAATGGTTAGTGCACACGCCCTCCCCCACCAAGCCCTCATGTTCTTTCCTATTATCGTTTCATTTATTTTTCATTAACTAGATTGTCACTTGTGTATTATTTTAATAGTAAAAACTAGTTAAAATTAAGAGAAAATTCCTCCGATCAAACTGCCATCATCTTATTTCGGGTAGTAAATGAGACGAAATAGATTGTAAGTTATTTGATTTTGACTCGATCAAAGCTTGATCAACACTCGACTCAGATGGACTCGACTCAAGTTCTTAACAAGCCGAAGTGACCTACTTAATATCCGACTCAAAAAGTTCTCGAGCAACTTGGAAAATAATATATTAAATTTTATTTTAAAATTTAATTATTAATAATATTAAAATTTTTATGTTTTGATGTAATTAAAGTTCACGTTTGAGCTCGAGTTGAGCTTCAATTGAGTTAAGTCTGAGAATGTTCCAAGCATAAATTTTTTTGAGCTTGAGTCGAGCTTCAATATTTGATTTCGAGTTCAACTCGAGCTTCACAATTTTAAATTTGTAAATTTTCGAGTCAAGTCGAGCTCACCTTTGAACTTTTCAAGTCGAACTCAATAATACTCGAGGTCAACTCGACTAATTTACAACTCTATTCTTATTGGTAGATTAAATTTATGAATTAAAATTAATAAAATATGTAAATAATTAAGAAAAAAAAATGTAATTACAAATTTACTTAATTGCCGTATCATCATTTTATCAAAATAACTCGATTTATAGGAATTTAATTATTGAGTGATTAATTAAAATAAATTAACTTTATCATTTTATCTGAATACATTACTCAAAAATAAATTTTTCAAGTCACTATAAACCAAAAAGCTCGACAGATAACAAACAATAAAAGCATGGTGAATCAAATTACATTGTAAAGCTAAAAATAAAACAAGGAGAACCACAATTTGTAATGGACACTGAGAAACAATAGGCGTTGTCTGTTACAAAGAGAATATCAACCGAAGAACCAAGTAAGATGAGACACAAGTATGTTAAGACTACTGAAATACGAAGATGTATTAATTGGTTGAGCGATTAAGGACGTTCATATTATCCCATAGATTTGAATCTTGATATTTGTCTTTAAAAAAATCCTTATTCTTGCACCTAAAAATAATTTACCAGGTAATTTACTGTAAAGATAAGGACCGAATTAGGTAAGTTTTTTGCAGAAGGGCTGCTTCTGTGTTTGGTCACCACATTGCACCTTCTAGTTTTTGAGTCTTGACCATTGTCCTTTCAAGTTCAACTTACGTTTCAAGGTTTGGGCTTCAACCAATGGTGGTCTGGTCTTTTTTGGTCTTGCTGGAAGATGCACCTTATGAAAGGTAACCATCCATGAAGACAACATCAAGCATGTGGGTATTGTACCTATATTGATTATGCTTTAAGGGCAACCAAAACACCCCATTGGTCCCTTCCACGTAAAGCACTTGGTTAATCTACTACCATAACCTTCATAATCCTCTCTCCATTTCACAGAGCTATTGACCCTAAATTTAAATCACCATACTAAACTAACTTCCTACTGTCATTTTTCCCCCAAACTAAAACATCCAACAAGGACAGCTTCGTTCCAACTATAATATCGGTCCCATTCCCCAACAAGTCTCAATCCTTGGACTTGGATTTAAAATGTCAGGTGTGCCTCTGGTAGTAATCCACAAATAAGAGCAAGGAAAAGCATTATCTTGAGGATGGACCAGAAACAGATTGCTGATGATTCCAGGTGAGTAATTGGCTTTTCTTATTTTTTTTTAATAAATAAGTTTATTGTGTTGTGGTGGTACTGCAGGTTGATTTTCAGAAACAGAAAAAACAAGGGGCCATGTGTGAAGAGGAGTGGAGAATTCGAGGTGAGCTGGAGAGTGAAATAGAGAGAGACTTGGAAGAAGAAATCAAAGATGGAATATACCATCTGGCATTTAGATTGCACCGCCTTTATCAGCACAAAAGGGAAAGGAATGCCGAGGGAATATCAGAATCTGGGAGTAAACAAAAGACAAAACACTTTCCGAGGTGAATATAAGTATAAAAATGGAGGGTGGAACCAGAATTGAGATTAAAGAGACTAAGAAAGATCAAAAGGGTCAGCCTCTTAGACCCGGACCGGAGTCAAGAACAAAAGGGTCTAAATCTAATGCTAAGAAGTTTGATGGGCTAATCGTCTGAGATCAACAAGGGCTGACCCTGCAATTCTTAGCAGGAAAACTGAAAGATCATACGAAGCTAAGGTACACACCAATGATCCTAAGCTTGAAAACAAGGAGAAAGGAAACATTGGTGTAAATAACAAGCTCTGAGCTGGGATGGAAGTGGTAAAATGAATTTGGTTTGTTATGCAGCTAAATAAAATATGGTTTGAGTTTGTTTATTTTGTTCAAATACTGCATGCGAACTTACTATCTGATACTGCCAATTAAAATGGGATATGTATAGTTTTGCAAGGAATTGAATACACAGATGTGTGATTATGTCTAGATTTTCTTCTCGTATTTGTAAAATGGAAGAAAGAAAAGATTGTATGAGTTGGTAGAGTCCAAACAAAAAGCTTATTGGGAGACCAGATGGAAAGAGAGAGGGATTATGGTTGGGAATGAAGCATCATAGTCTAGTCCATGTCCAATGTTCATATCCAATTGTCCATATCATGCCTCAAAACAAAATTATAAAAGCAAAAGTTATGTCCATAAGTTTTTGGTTGTTTGCTTTAGAAAAGGTAACGACCCAAAGAATCTTGGGAGGACCCCCCCTTCCTTGGGTTACACTGGCCTGTTGTGCACTATTACTTGGAGTCATATAGGACCCAAACCCACCCCCATTCCGTCTCATACTTTGCACCCACTTCCTACTACATTTTCCTCTCCTAACTACATTTATTTCTTATTATTTATATCCGTTCTACACAACGTTTGTTTCTAATTTTATTACTTTTATGTGAATTACGTACATCCCCTATTCATTTTTAATAGTTTAAACAAAGATTAATCATAGTCAACTGTATAGACCACAACATTTTTGCAACCTCAAAATCTAAACTCAAGAATTTAGTTAATTGAAACATTCACATCAATTTTTTCAAACGTTTGATAAAAAAAATTTATTTATTTTAAGATAAAATGATAAGTTTTCTCTTGAGGTGGTATAACATTTAGAATGATAATTACCCTACTAACGTATATTAGCAAAGACGATGCGAAATCAAATGTTGATGGGATGAATTTTAGACACTGTCAAATCGAAATGAGTTTGAGAAAGCAGAATTTCCATACTTATAGGTAAGAAACTATAATGGATAGGTCTATTAGTATTATATAGGATTCTAACCTAACACGACCAACCGATCTAGCGGATAATCGATGGTTATTATTCTTAAAATTATCAAGTTCAAACACAATGTCTATAAAGATCATTAGACTTTTATTCTTAAATAGTTGATTATTTTTCGAACATATATTATAGTGTAATCATCTTAAATTAACAAAAAAAAATCAACATAATCCGTCCAGTAATTATAAAAAGAAACCCTTTTTTATCTTAAACAACTTTCATAAACAATAAAAATCCTAAATAACTGGGTAATTTGCTGTTTTTAGATGGATTACACAATTGTGTCCACTTATGTTCAACTTGAACATGAATAACATGAATACAAGTATGAATAAAGACAATCCAGCATACTAAGTAGGAAGAAGATGATGAATCACAGTCTGATGCAAGAAACTGTGGTTAAAATTCCCGAATCAAGCAAACTATTCTGCGTATCTTGTTGCTAAAAGATTTAGACACTAGAGGATTTGCAGCTGCAGCTAAATGGTCCAAAAAAAAACAAGCACATCTCTCGTCTTAAAATCTTACCTTTTATAAGGAATCATATCCCTCTTTTACCTACCATGTGGTTTGAATTCTGACATACCCAGCAAAAATCTCATCCAGTCAACTAAACAAGAGCATTCATTCCCATGCCAAAGCACATATATCAATGTTAGTGCAGCTGAAGATTTCCTTAAACAAAAATAGTTGGGTTACAAGAAGCTAAATATCTACCAATAACTCTTACATGCAGATAAATTCACGTGCAAAAGGATAACTAATTAGGTTTATAGCAACTGTTTATACGTGATACATGGATAATCTTGACTAATCCCTCCCTTGCCTATTAAAGCTCAAAATTCCACTAGTTAAAGCTCTTCCATGTTCAGGCCTCTTTCATTTGCATTGCACGTCTCTCCACCGCTTTGCCTCAATCCACCAATATCTAAACTCATTTTCACATTAAAACATGTATTAGAATTAAAATTAACATTAAGTAAATATGATTTATGTTTACCACCAAAGTACCAAATGTTAGCCCCCTAACAAATCTAGCTTTTTATATTATTTTTTTCAATTTCTTTTGCCTTGAAGTAGCTGTTTTTTAGGGTTTCTTACCAAGAGTGTTCTGTTGTTATGCATCCATACTTTGAAGACATGCCTTTTATCCATTTTCATTGCAGAACTGTTGAACTATGGCTTCATCGTGTTTCTGAATCCGCCACCCTAGCCTCTCAGCCAACGCCGCCATCTTCCCTTTTGTTCCGGCGTGAACTTTGTTCTAAACCTCTTCCTTGAACTCACCTGATTCGAAACATCCTCTTGATCTTCCCGGCTGTGTCCTCCGCCGCCTCCTGATATCGACGGTAGAGCCAACGGCCTTTGCTGTCCCGCCACGTGGAGGTACCCGTTTGGAGGTCTAAAGTAAGGCGTGAATTGCGGTGGCTGGTGATGGGAAGTACAGGTCCGTCATGGGAACGGAGTGTGGGGAGCCGAGTTCCGTTTCCTTTCGGTGGAAGTTACGGTGGCAGTTACAAGCTGCGCATTTGAGAGCATCAAGGGTACCTTCAGTTCCAGCCGGCATGAATTCACAGCAACCGTCGACGGCGTAACCGCCGATTCCCCACCGCGTGGTTCTTCAAACACTCTCTATACCTTGGCTTCCTCTGCAACTGAGCCGCTGGAGTTATTGAACCCGTTCAACACCTGATATTTTGGTTGGAGATGATTTGCAAGCGAGTCATAAGTCGGTGCCAAACCCATCTCTTCCTCTTGCTCCTCTTGATCCTCAAACTCCATTTCTCCCACCCAAGACGAAAAATTTACCCCACGGAAAGAGATTTTAACAGAACAAAAAATAAACCTTTTCTTCCCTATAGAATACAAAGAAGATAAGAGGAACAACACATTGTGACCATAATTTCCCCCCTTGAACCTGTCTTTTTTTTAACAAAGGATCCTTCTTGATCACTCTCCCGTTCCGAAAAAAAATATATCTTTAACCTCTCATTTGGTTGATTTTTACGGAACTGAAAAATACACGGGTCTGGTTTTAAAGGAAGAGTGGGTACAGTGAAGATAGCAGGCCTGGGGTTTGTCCACTGTTGGGTATATAGTTTGCAGAGCGGACAATTAAAGGAATCCAAAGTTCACGCGCTTTCTCTCCGCACTGAAACTTACGTTGTAATAATTTCGATGGACCCTTTCATTTTTCTCTCGTTACCGAAAGAAGGGACCTCAAAGTGAGGTCAGGTGGCGCGTGTAGCGGCGCGTAACATTGTAGTACGGAGGGGAGTTTGTTGCGGAAGAAGATGGGGACTCGGAATTACTTGGGGGAGCAAAAAATTGTCGGCATTAAATGCAAAGCTTGAAAACCTCTGACGTGTGCCAAAGTTTCCGACATTGGTGGTGACGCGCTGTTGGCATCAACATGCAATTAAATCCCGATGTGTTCTGTAAGAGAGAGAAAATTAAGGATGGAGAAGGCAAAAGTTGGAGCTTAATGGTTATTAATACTCTCCTGTGATTCGCGTGGAGGGAACGCGCTAGAGTGTGGGCGGTTGTGTTTGGGATCGAAAGTGTATTTTTCCTTACCAAGCCATGCAGGCATGCACATGATAGGATGATGGGAGAGATATTTTCTTGTACTTGTTTCTTCCTACATTTTTTCAATTAGAGAATATGTTGAAGATATATTATTATTTTTGGCTTCAGATTTTTTAGAAGTAAACTAAAATATAATATTCTTTCGTTATATCAGATTTATTTATTTAAATTTTAAAATTATCTTACTCAAAATATATTATTAAAAAAATTAATAAATAATAATACTTATATTTCTCATTTTTATCTTTATGTGTCTCGTTCTTTTACACTTATAAAAATAATTTTGTCAAATTTATCAATCATATTTTGAAAATAATTTTACGGTTTCCTTCGTTTTATATTACTTGGCATATAATCAAACTTATATCCTAAAACTATATGTTTCGTCAACATGAGACAAAATAATTGAATGAGAGTAGTAATAATAATTAATTCAAACTTTATGATTTTTTTACACAATTAAGTTTTTATAATTAATAAATTTGGGTCGAATATAAAATAATATTTGTTCAAAGACTTTCAATCACTTGATAATGAACGTTCATACCTCTACATACGTAATATTCAACCTGTAACCTCAAAGGATAATAACGAATCGGGTATAGTATATTTTTAATCCTAAATGAAGTAGAATTGGGTATGATTGACGGTGTTTAAATTGATTGATTTAATTCCAATACTAGATGGTTTATAATCTGTTGCATTCAAGCCTAATAAATTGTGGGAGCAACTAGTCCACAAAAGAGAGATGGTGTCCTAGTATAAATTAGTATGGAGAAGCCTAACAAATCGTTAGTATGCATTCATTATCTTGTTGACTCTCCTATGTAGGTTAGTAGTGAAGTCTAAGTTAATATTATGAAGAATTCAAGTGGGTCCCATTTGCTACACATGTATGGGGAACTAGAAAAATTAGTGAGAATCCTTGCAACTTGCAAGAGATGTCAGGAAGTTAAGGAACAAGCGAATACTGCTGGCGAATGTTTATTGAGAAATTACAACATTAAAAAAGCTTCCTAGGAACCGAAAGCAACAATGAATTTTTAGTATTCACTCTTTAAGTGGTTAAAGCATTGTTGTTATCCTTAAAAGGTTTCGATTCAAGTACGACATTTACATGAGTGTTTGAACGACCGTAATCAAATGGTTGAAAGTCTTTTAAATAGATATTATCTTATAATAACTCAATATTAATAAAAAATATTATAAAATTTTAGTATTCACACCTTTTCATTTTAGGTAATTTTGATGAT